AGTCTTGTGGAATCAGAGCATTTTCTCGAAAAGACATGTGTATTCACTTAACTACCTACGCATTGATAAGCTATCACCGTTCTATATTCTGCCCCACTGAATCATTGCTGCTTTTGTAATTCTAATCCGCCTTCTTATTTCTCGTTCGCAGCTTGCCTGTCTTATCGATGATCGAATCACATGTCATGTTATAGTTCTATTGATGTGTGCGGGTACTTTATTATTGTAAACTGAAGATAAAACAAACTGAATGATTGAGACCCTGAAGAGTTTTGAAAAATTTAAATAATATTTAATAGAAAATAAATGTATTTAAATCAAGAGATATGTGTGTATTGAAAACAAATGACCAATAATTTGTTATTTATAACATATTTTAAGAACAGTGCCTTTTGTATAACATCCAGAACTAATTTATTTCTACTGTCCTGAATGGCAAATAACATAACAGTCCATCTTATCCGTGTCGTATTAAAATTCAATAACTTGCGTGGAACGAACGTCATACAATGTTTTATGTATTGAGAGCACTATTATACCCATTGCCTTATGGTAGTGGATAGAAGGTAGTGTTTTGTTTAATTTACACGAATGTATTTTATTTACTGGATCTTAATCTTGTATGGAATACATATAACCTGGAACAAACAAGGTTTTCGGTCAGTTAGTGTCGAGGTCTGTATACTTTGTGTTCTGATTGTGTGATAACAGGAAAAAAATGGGAGTGTTCTTCTTAAAAAAGTATGTAGCATTTAGGTTTCTTGACTTTGTAAAGTTGAGGTGGGTTTGAAAAATATATTATTGTTTCTAACTGTTTATAATATAAGAATGTTTCTTCAGTAGAAATTAAATACTTTGATGTAGTTTGATATGCATAATTGAAGGTTGAAGTTGTAGGTGTTGAATCTTTTATCACGAGTACCTTGGGGTATATGTGTCACGTAAAAAGAAAATGGCGACCATCAAAAATTTCATAACAGAAAATGAAATTGTCAATCCCTACCTTTGAGACTTTATCTTTATTACTTTAAAATATATACTGTTTGGCAATACACTTTATACTGTTTGGCAATTCATTTAAAATACATATTGTAGCAAAACATTAGAAGGTGAAACTAACTTTTAATACACTGTTTATTAAATATACATTGATTATATTTTTAAATAAACCCTATCCTTTTAAATTAGACTCCTCTAAAACTGGCTTAGTTATATCTAAGATGTCTTGTAGTATGCAAACAAAAACATACGGTGGAATTATGAACTACTTTTTTTGAACTGAATTCTATTTATTTCAGATGTATTTAAATAGTTTGTTCTTGATATTGGGCTGGTATTTCCTTTTATGACTGTTTCATATCATAACAAATGATACACAATCTATTTTGAACATGCACAGGTACCTAAAGGCTGTGTGATGATTACAAACCGCGATGAGAGAGCGCTTATTATAAATTGCAATTCTTTATGTATCTGTCTGTCCGTAGCCGTATTAGTTTGGTCTGTACAAGCAAATCACCTCAGCTTCAACCTATCAAAGAAAATAACTTTCAATACGATCTGTGTTGTATATTAATTGATGAAAATAAGTTATTTTGTGTAATTGTTTAAATTTTCGTATTTACTTTATCTCTACAGAATTTTACATTATTATACACTTGTCTTAGACTTATAATGTCATCTAATTGATATTTATTGCGTACTCAAACAAACTTTTTTAAACATTAAGTAAAAAGAAATTGCATAGTTAAAAGGTGACACTTAGAGCAACTAGTCTCGTTAGTTATAATTATATTTATAAAAACGTATAAAAAAGATTATTAAAAATAATTATCAAGATAATTAACATTGCACACAATAGAGTTCTATTAATGCCATACCATTTTTTTATTTTCCTCTGGAAATTATCGTAGGTTAATTCCGGTGAAATCGTCACGCGTAAGCCGATAATACGAGTACATACAAACTTGTTGAACGTTTCATTATAATTCCATAAAAAAACCCATTTCGCTTGGTTACATCTGAAAATCACAATATACAATGTGATCTCACCCGCCGAATACGTTAATTCATTACATTCACCAGATGTCAGATGTACCTAATTAACAACAGTAATAAACATTTTGCATGAAAATGTAAATTGACGCACATTGTAACAACGTCTTCCGTTACTGTGTACAACACAACAGCCCGATCGTTCATTTGTGTCAGCACAATTGTTTATAATAGAACACTGCTTTCCATAATAATAAGTGATATAACAAAGACATGGGTTATTATGTAAAATGAGAATCTAACAATACATAACCAGTCTTATAAACGTAGATTAAACACTCATTAAGTAGCAATTGAGTATGAAAATTGTTGAGTAATTATTAATGTTAAGTAACTCTAATCAGTCGGTAAACAATGTGTGAAAAAGTCGTCTTTATAGTTTGATCATTCATTGTAGCTATTTATAAGCAATGATTGCTAAATGAATGTGAATGAGATACACTTTGTTCCAAGTCTTTTACGTTATCTCTTTGTCATCCACATATTTCAGCCTTCAAACATCTTGCTTTGTCAGCTGTTTTTCGGGTAGAGTGAGAACTTTTAATCATGATAAGGCATCAAACAGACAAGTAGATATACTATCTAATTTATATGTATATAATAAATATTCTTTATTGCACTTAAATACATTTGTAAGTATATTAATTACATCTAATGTTAACAAAGGTGGATTTATCTCTAAAAGAGATCTCTTCCAGTCAACCCAATAGAGCGTGGCATAGGAAGTGTTGTGTGGGTCAAAATGTGCAAATAATATTTTTTATAAAAATGTCATAAATAATTAAAACTAAAAATAAAAATATAATGTCCAAAATACAGATACTAATACAATATACATAAAGATAAATATATAAAAACGATAACTATTTTTTAACATAAAAGTCAATGTAGTCAAGTAATTTTTATGCAAACAATTCAATTTTCATTTATTTATATTATATAGTTATAGATAAAAATTTAATTTTTTTATTTAATAATATTATTAGGTGGAAGAATCTATCATTGGTGGCATACAGGGTGGACATATTGTTTTGTGAAATGTAACATTACACCTTGTAGTTCGAAACTGAGATCAGCTCTTATTTCTCCATTGTTATATTTTAACGGTTATTGTTCATATTTAAAATATATCATATCTTCAGTTGTTTAACGTTCAATTTTACATGCGCTCTATCTTCTGTTGTTTACATATATACATATATACAGGTATACTTTGCGGTTTCTAGTATAATTCACCAAGTTATTTTTAAAATATCATTGTATAAAATAGTATAATAATTTAAGTAAATTATACATACAGACAGTTATTTAAATATTTTTTCGTTAATTGTGATATATTATACTCGAACCTATTTCAGTATGTATGCCTATGGATCCCGTAAGAATTTTTCAAAGGCTTTATTTAACATAGCTTCTGTATGCCAATAGTAATGAGATTTAGAATAATAAATAGAAACAGATAAAAACATTAAAATACAAATTCCTTAATGAATACCATTACATTAATAGATTCAGTCATACTTGATAACGTGTCCTAATGAGTGATATGGCTGATTAAATTAGACCTCATAACTTATACTCTGGACTATTCTTTTCCTATAAATCTTCAATGCCGTGGAGGTTAAATTGATTGTGTAATAGAATACTGACACTATACTAGACTATACTGATACTATTGGAGTAAGGATTATTATATTATTTTTTTTTAGATGCATATTTAACATAGATATTTTTCTAATATCAGAATATCACATACGTGCTGTGCTATGACCTCCATTATGATTACCCTGAATCCATTCACTTATCCCTTATGAATAATATTTACACACGACCTCATTCATCTTTGAGCTGTGGATCAATCTTTTTCCAGTATGTTTTGAATATTCTTTATGTACCACTAGTAAATCCCGCGGCGTTACCCACTTGGAGTACACTTGACTTACTGATAATAATATTATTTATGGGTCGAATTATTTTTAGAAATTTCAATTTATTACAAACATAAATAAAATCATATCAATCCTCTTTACAATATTTTGATTTATTGCACTCCCATTTATTATTCTGAAAGTGGTTTATAATAGTGATTTGTTAAATTGGATTACACTGGGATTTTAGACTTTTTAGTGTTTCTAAGAATACTTCTCAGTTGGTTAGAACTGTACTAGGTTATGATAAGTGTTCTCAATATTACTTTCGCAGAATATCGGTCAACTATTTAATTATACATTACTCTTATATTTTATTTATATCGTATTCTCAGTACTTGGAACGAGTATCTCTTCTTAATAGTCTAAATCGGCTACGAATATCTTGCGAGCCACTTGTTTTAGAACAATATTTTTCTATTTAGTTTTGCGTTGTTACCTTATTCATATATCCTGCCGACAAAAATAAATGATAATACTATTTAATAGATAGGTAATAGTGCATTTTTAAACTGTTACCATACTGATCAAGCTTTTATTACAAACGTGTTACTACAAAAAACCAAAGATCGTTCTTCTGAATCAGGACAAATACATATGTTATATAGGTATATATAGCTTTAATTTATTTACTAAAATTATGAGTAAAGTGTCACTCTTAACCACCCTTATAATATAAGTTTGACATAAATTGAATTACTTGAAAAAAGCCAGTCAAGTGCGAGCCGGACCAGAGAGATCCGTAATTAATCGTTATCTCTATCCTTAATTAATCTTTATCCATAAATACGAAAGAAAACATCATTCTTTGTACTTAATGGGTATTATTTTGGATTATAATTAATTTGAGAGGAGATAGTAAATTGTTTTTATTAGATTTTTTTTTATATTCTTAAGGCGATTAGGCGAAGGTACTTTAAGTGCATGGCACTTAAAGTACCTTCATTTGATCGTGATCGCTCACTATTTGGTGTATTTAAAAGCCTGGTGGTAAGGTTTTTTTTATTTTATTTTCAGACAAACTTTAAAACCTCTGTCCGGGTCAGCGCCGTCAGTTCGCGTGGGGGCGTTGGCCAGCACAAGTGATACAGCCGAAGGCAAGCAACCCAGTAAAGCACGCCAGAAGAAGTTCATGAGACACTTCCCGCAGGTCGGCCCTGAGGAGCGGGTTGTCAATTGTAAGTATTTTTTTCTATGGATGTGGAATGTTGTTCTTGGCGGTGATATTGGTTGCCGTTGGCGGGACACCAGTGTAGGATGAGATAGGTCAGATAAGTCAGATTCGGCAGCTCATCGTGGTTAATTCAGTAGAAATTATCCAGTATAGCTTCCACGTGTGATCGCGTGGATGTTAACCTGACAGGACATTGTTAGTAAGACGGATTTATGTACAAAAGTAATAAAATGGCATTAATCGACTAGGGAAGAATGTATGTAAAGTATTTATTATGTGTTATATTATAAATATACTTACTTATGTATGTCTAAATTATGATTTTGGAGATACTTTCACAAAAAGTTTCGTCATTAATATAATTTATCTTTATACGAAAATTTCATTAGATAAATCTGTTCACCAGTTTCGCCGTGAATAAGTAGCAAACAGCCAGAAAGATACACTTTTGTATTTATATTAGTGTTACAGTGATAGGTACACTTGTCGTTTCTTGCTGTGAAAGAAAACACCATTGTATGCTATGCCACCTATTGTAAACACTAGAATTGATTGTTTCCTGCTTAGTCAGATAATGATAATGATATTGTATCTGTAATGAAGATGTAGTTGGCAAATTTTTTTATAGCTTCATGCGAACTGGAGAGACAAAAATTTGTGAGTCAGTAACGCGATTATGCGGTTGAAACATTCGTAACGACATGTATTTTTATAGAGATATTCACGAAGTTAATTCTGAGATAATTACAATTGTATCGCAAAAAATGATTTTTTTTATATTTCTATCAGACAATAACGTTCATTGGTACATTATTTGGTACATAACATTCATTGGACTGATTTTCTAACGTTCAACACGAAGGCACCGAGCTATTGTCTTTTTCTGTCACAATAAAATAATGTTACATTACAATTAATTTTACTGATCGGCTAAGTAAGTACTGATTAATTGAATTCAAAATACTGATAGCTTAGTGCAGTGATCTAAATTAAATGCATATTTATGCCTTCCAGATCCCGGCTCTACTCTGAAGTAGCTACTGTTTTACCATTCACGTCCAATTTTCTTATAAGCTTCATATTTTATTCATAGTAAACTAAACGAATAAATTATACACATATGACGACAGTGGTATAATATGATTACTAGTGCTAGCGTTATGCATGGTTTTTTTACCTTCTATTTAATAGAGTGGTAGACAATTTAGCTTCTGTATTGTATGATGTCTGCAGTCTGATATTTCCCATAGTTTATTAATAGAATATAATAAACCACCTTGCCACTTCTATACGTTTTTCCCATCGTGCGATGGTAGGGTTGTCAATCGTAAGAAAATGTCCTCGTTCAAAGAAGTCAAAATTCTTGTATATTGGTTAAATTCGGCTCTCAAATCCCATAAATCGAATTTTGACTAATATTAAATCTCGTTTATGAAAATGTCCTCATACCAACGAAGACCAAAAATCTCGTACTTCTACAAGGATTTATTTACAGTTACATCGTTGGTGGCTGCCATTTTGTCAGTTCCGTTTATTTATCCATTTACCTTATACGTTACTTTATCCTGCGGATGTCCTCATTATTCATATTTGCTAATGTCTACTGCAAGTTGTAGAGACGTTTCCTTATCGCTACTCTCAAATGTCTGGAAATGACATGAATGCCAAATTGAATAAGTCATGTTAGTTAGGCCATCGTAGCGAATACACCAGAAATTAAACACAATGTCTTTCAGTACTGACTGCGTTGTCACGCAGATACAATGTAAGGTCGATCGTCATCGACCTATTTATTGACAAAAAATTGTACAAAAAAGTGGTCATTTGCAGAACTGGTATATATTACTCATGAGTAGGTACTCATGAGTAATATGTACTCATGAGTACCTAAGTTTTAATTTGTAAAACCCATATATTTTTAAACGGTTAATATAATTAGATCATCCATGTTGGATTTAAAATAATATGATTTTCTCATTGTAAATTTGTTTGTAATACTTGATAAGTAAATAGAGTAATGCGTAAATTACTAAAAATCCCCTCTCCCTAGTAAGGTAGGTTTAGTTTACCAACATTTAGAATGACTTTCAGGGTAACTTCCAACTGAATATATGTACATGTAATCAGCTAGCTATCCACGCGTGCGAAGACACACAACTAGTCGTTTATCTAAGTGTATATTAAAACCTCAAACACCTGAATGATATCTAATATCGACAATAATAAATGATATGTCCTGATAATACAATAAAAATTATATCCATACATATGTACGTATGAACAGTAAGTACCTACTGGTAATAATGATGATGACGAATGACAATTAAAGCTATTAACTTTTCAAATTAAATTATTTTTTATTGTCAAACAAACTTACTTGATGGAAAGTTGCAATCGGCACTTAAGTATATGAACAGCACCTCGGTTGTCACGCCATTATACACCATGGTGCCTCGCATACGGAGCCAATCCTAGGAACTAAGTCTCCCAGAGCAAATAACGCACTGAGTTACTGCCTATTTTACCTCTTTATAGTTCATATTTTATAAAGAACTCTTTCTTTATGTGTGAACCAAAGTCATACAAAGAAAGGAGGGTTATATGGGAAATTTTGTATATATTTGCTGTTTCTTTTTTATAATAATTTTACCGTGTATATCTGTTGATGTAATTAAAGTAAATATCTATCATAACTACATACTGTAATATTACTACCATATTTCCCAATCAAAACAGCAGCAGAAACCAAGCTGCTTTACGGCTGAAATAGAAAGGCAGTATTACCCACCCAGAAGATTTTGTACTAGCTAGTTCTAATACCCCATATAATGCGACAGGCTATAATTGAATAAGACCACGTATACAACGCAGTACTCACATCTCAATTTTAAAAATTAAACTCTGTTTATGAAGTACATATCTAGCGGCAGAAATAGACAAAACAGAAGTATCCACAAAAAGCTGAATACAAAGTGTACCTCGCTATGATTTTAGTTTATAAATCTGTTCTTTTCTACAAATAATATTGGTGTACTTTTATAAAATCCGGTTTATTTATGAAGGTTGTACGGAACTGAAACCTTCACGGATCTGTACTCGTGTCGGCAACGGTGTTCATTGATAAGCATTTGCAATTGAATTCGGTGGTTCCGTATAACTATTACGCACAACGGTCGGTGTCATTGGCCCAAATCGAAATAACTTTAGTACATTCAACTATTGCATAATTGGATTTATTACACGCACATATATACACATTGGTCGTGTCTCGTGATTTCGTAAATTAAAAATGTATTAATCTTACTATCGCTGATTCTGGAAAAATACAATGTTGGTCATTGTAATGTAAATATCCGCGACTTTGTCTTTTAGGATTTTATACTAAAAAGTAATGTGTGGCCTAAGACCGTCTTTTGAATTTATAATATTTAGTATAGCGTAGTATAGTTTACGATCATTCTAACCATATATTATATTGTTTAGCTTTAATTTCATGACTTAACGGGTCATACAATTATCTTGAACATGGTATATCAATTCTGATGGAGAAGGACATAGGCTTCTTTTTTTTAATGCGTTGTGGAAAGAGTTCTTGTATAAAATAATTTAAACCTTTAAGTGCTAATTAGATTTTCTTAAAAAAAAAAACGATAAATTGTCCTAATGATAACGATAAATTTACTAGAATTAATATAAACTTTATTTGAACAGGTTGCTTAATATGAACAATACTGCTATACTAACAAGTTGTTAAATATTCAACCACATTGAATGGGGGTCTATGACCTACACAGGGTTAACCGCGACGTTTGACCTGCACCGCAAGTGCATATTAGTCTTACAGTTCCACTGTATTATTATACAAATATTTTTATTATTTCGTACAATTGTAATGTTCTATAGTTTTTGTATTAATTTTTTCTATATTTATCTACGATTTTTTATTATTTGAACTTCAAGTACCTGCATACATGTATATTAATCACTTCTGTATATGTTTTGTAGGCAATATTTTTGCTAATTATTAAAAACCGATTTCATTTAATTATTTAGTCTCAAGTAGTATGTTATATTTAAAATATATTTATTATTCAAAAACAATCCCCTTAATATAGGGAATGTGTTCATATGTTTTCGTTCTTAGAACCAATAAAGGTCACAATTTATTTAAGCCTTGACGTATTCAAAATATATGTTGACATTTAAAACTGTGGTTATTCAAACGATTTGTAATTTATACTTGTTGATACCATTAATACTGATTTGGATTTATAAGAAGTTCATGAACGCTCTAATTTTATAAATTAAATTCTATAAAAATACCGATACAAAATAATATGGAATTGATTTCGATTTCGATCATCGCCCGGATGCTATACGGATGCTGCACGATGGAGGACAACTCTGGAGAAATCCTTTTGGCAATTTTAAAATATTGCTTAAAGCGATCTATCCGGGTTTTCACGACTACTACACCTTACATTACATTATTGAAGTTTTCCTATAAATCTCTATTTTTTTATATTTATTAGGTTATAGTGGATTTCATATTTTTTTATTTGTTTGTCAACAGATTACTCCTGTGCTCTGGTGGGTGACCTACTCCTGCAAGGTCACCTGTACATCACCAAGAATTACTTTGCTTTCTACTCGAACGTGTTCGGATATGTGACCAAGGTGAGCGTCTTCGTTGCGCAGACTACTCTCACTTACTATTTATTTAAATAGGGTTGTATGTTAATATCTAGTATAAATGTATACAAATGTTTGCAAGTTAACATTTTTAAACGTTTAATTTTTTTATATATTTTGTAAAAAATTGTATTATGGGACGGATAATAAAATAATAATAGTAGTATGGTAGTCAAAGGTTACTGTCAACTGTCGATGTTGTGATGAACGCAACTCTTGATATGTCATATATTTCGTTGTTAAGTTAGAGCAGTAAATTTAGGCCACGACGCTGCGACGCTTTGTTTATTATTTGAATATTTATTTATTAAACACTGTTTTGAAGTCAAACAGGATATTGGTAACAGCGTCGAAATATCGTTAGCTGATAAATAATGTAATTGTGGTAAATTTCCTGTTTATATAAAGTGAACAATTATTTATTAATAACAGTAACAAAGACTTTATTTAGGTTGAAATGAAGGTTGGTGAAGGTTTAAAAACTATTAATTAACACTAACCTTTCAAACACTAAGTCCGGCACAACTGATTAGTATAATTATCACATTTTATGATCTACATGGCGTAAAATACAACTACCATACTATAAATAAATTATATATCGACCGGTGCTCTCAATTTTAAGATTCTTACAATCATATAGGCGAAAATTAAATAGGTACTATTATTTACATACATAGCATATTTCAATGTTGTACTCGACTACCGCGAAGCAAAAACAGGATTTGTTACTTATATGATTTTGATCAGTATGTATGTTTGTTTTGATAGAAATATAAAATTAATCTATATAACCTAATTTTGTTTGATTTAAAGGAATTTAGTATTTACTCATGTCCATAAATAAAATTTACATAGATATATATTCTTATGGGCATCAAAATCATATGATTTAAGTCTGACCAGCTGACAACCCTAATGAGTTGCAGAAGCGACATTGCGGTTTAGCTTTCTGGGCCAAGTTCAAAAAAAGTTAGCGCGATATCTAGAATGGCTTGATTATATGTCGCTCTAATGAGACCCACAATGGATTATTTGCTTCCATTTACGGTCTTCTATAGCTTTGTTAGTCACACTATTAGTACAATTATAATAACACAATGTAGGAGAGAGCATCTTCATTTATTAACCCAGCTTTAAATTTATAGAGTAATAAGTATTATTTACCCCTATAATTATTTATTAGTACTCCAAAAAATAATAATATTTATATGGGACTGTATCTGAATTACCTAAATATACCCACGACCTAAAAACTATCATGCTTATTGTTATTATAATGTTAATAAATAAGATAAAATATGTTTTACTAAAGGTACATACTCATTATGTACCAATATGATATATTTTCCTATAATATATGGCAATTAAGTATGTAGAACAGATACTTAAATAACATACTTAGTTAATTGTATATTTAAACCCGAATGGTTGGTTTTCTGAATATTTTACGATAAACAGCAAATATAGATTTAAGTTGCCATGAGGAAGCGGATTAGGCTATTTAATATATGTGACATTATATAGCAGCCGTTAAATTAGCTTTTATTCCTTTTCTACATATATTTTAATTACTAGTTAAATAATCATAATCTGCGTAGGCCGAGTTTGAAAAAATTCTTGACTGTCTATACCGTTAAAGTATCTTAGAAACATATCAGCTTGGGCACCCAAGTCTTAATATTTTGTAAGCCATGTTTCGTTTGGAGGGTAAGATATGGTAGTTAAATAACAAGGTATAGGGACTAATCTTAATCCTCCACGTGCGTCTCATGTGATATCCTACGTACTGTTCATATAAAAAGGCAATGGTTGGGACTTATGTGTTATGTGCTAATCTTTGCCGTACTTTGTTGCCTAAACCACCATTGTATATTTTACTCAATTGAGTATTGTTGAAAGTGCTATAAAATATAAATCGTATATTATAAAGAACTTTCATGATCTGTCAAAAATTTATTCAGGTTGTCTGAAAGAGATATCTTACAGCGATAAGACAGCCTTTTATAATGCACTTTCTGCCTATGTATATTTGTCTTTGTTGTCTTTGTGTACAAAGAATTACTGTTATTGTGTACGAAATTTCAAATTTTGATTATTTGGTTCATTCATCTTTATTCTTGAGATGATAGATTGGTATTTTTAGATGGCGTCAACGTGAAAGGATGATAAAGAAATCGGTACTCAACTTCCGTAGTACAATATATAACTACTGGTATATGTAAATTAAATATACTTTTTTATTAATAACTTCTTATAAAATAAAAGAAAATACAATCAAATAGATTATATTTAGATGTGATGTCCATTTCATTCTAATTAAATTGCAGTAAAGTCACAAAAACCAAGTCACTTATTTGAATGCCGTGCTAAGAATTGTAGATAATTTGTACTTAGCTAATAATAGTATTAGACTATTCATGAAAGTTCAGTCAACTATTGTTTTTTACGTTACGATACGGTAAAGTTCGGTTATCGTGTGACTATTTTCGAATTACCGAAAATTCCTTGACCCAAATTTGACCTTTCGATAAATCAGTCACCAGGTTATTAGGTAAATAGGGTCATTAGACTAATTATGTTTACTATGATGGCCGTCGTTACATAATCTTTGTTTTGTACCTGCTATATACTCGTGATACGATAATATGGGGTTTGTTTAGAATTTATAATTTAAAAGTATAATAAGTATTATGTTATAGTTAACATGAAAATAGGTTCTTCATGGTTACTTCGAAACACTCAATTAACGTATTCTACAAATAATATGCATATATATATTAATATAATATATATATAATATAATATATATATTATTTGTAGGTATTATTAATTTAAATTTATACAATCTAGGCTAATTGCCCGTATTTATAACTGTATTGTGTATAGACCATATACTGTAACTGAAGTGATTTATAAATAAATATATATTAATATATTTACTTATTTATTTTTGTACGTACGCATATATTTTTTAATAGTAAACGTTACACATCATAATCAGGAGTGTAAAATTACAATATCTACTTTTATGTACTGCAAAATGCATATATAATTGTCCATATGACATAACTTCTTTATCTGAAGTCTGTTTCTATTTTATACATAATTTAAGTCATATTGTTGCGATAGAATATCAAATATAGATTAATTTTACTAAAAATATTGCTATTTAACAACACATTAATTAAAATAATAACTAATGTAATCTTGTTTCGTTCGTTTTTAATTACTACACGACGTTATCAAGTGCTAATTATATAAAATAAGCTAATAAGCGCAGTTGGCTCTTAGTAACTGTTTAATTGTGTCCTTACTTAAAATATAATAAGCACGCACATGTTTTTGGTGCTAGTGACGGATATGTGACGTGTAAGTTTGCGTAAATGGGGTTTCGGATTCGGTTTTAATGGCTGGGTCCAAGTAGAACACTGTTTTTTCTTGCACAACATTTTAAAGAGGAAATATATATGTACATCTAGTTAAACTGTTACTAAATTGTTTGAATCGGTACAAATGCCTTACTTATTTCAGATGCTAATAGTTAGCTTTGTCAGATATGTTTTAGTTAAAGGGTGAGATATAGAATTACAGGATACGTATGCATAATTATGAGTTGTAGTACCATGGACGTCAGGAGACACCGCGATGTCCATGATACTAGTATATAGGTGGGCCAACAGCTTCTTTGTTATTTCACTTGCTTATATTTTGAGAAGTTCATCAGTTTGTTAATTCTTTTACAAACATTAGAGTTACTATTTTGGCTATGTTAGCTATTCCGTTGTTACAAATCTTTAAATAATAATAATTTAGAATTCTAGATTAAATATTTGAATATATCTACCCTTTGCTCAGCCCTTAAATGTTTTATAATTCGTAGTATAGGATACCCCATCCCCCTCCCTCCTCTGCTCATTTATTTCTAATATTTAGGAATTGGTGTGATTGTATGAAAATAATAATTTAAATCTTACATTTCCAGTTGTTAATCCCGACGTCGTCCGTTATCCGAATATCGAAAGAGAAGGTTGCCCGTATAATTCCAAATGCAGTTGGCGTTTCCACTCGAGATGAGAGGCACGTGTTCGGATCACTGTTGTCCCGGGACGCCGCATATAAATTGATGACGCACGTATGGAAAGCCGCCAGGCCCGAGTTGGCAACCCCAAAGGCACAGGTAAATAATTTTTAATTTACTTGTAATGGAACACAATGTAATTATTTTAATAATTATATTCATAAAACACTAACAGTAACTAAAGTGTTCGGCAGCGCTGCCCGTGTGTATTCGATTGTGTAGTGATTATAAAATATTCAGTTTAATTAAGAATACCATCGGTGTCTGTAAAGTTCAGTCTAATACGTTCAGTTTAGGATGAATGTATATCTAATTGTGTAAACATCTACATTTACAATATGCTTATCAGTAAACTATGCTACCTTCGCTTTGCCCTTTAAAGTTTGACTCTCATTTCCCCACACATTTTGAAATTTGATATGTCGTGCTTATATTATAGAATGGATAGTTCTTATTTTAGTTAAATACGATATGAGAAGTCCGTCTCGTAAATAACGATTTTCCTGTGTTACCGTAATGTATTTTCCTTCTTTAAAAGGCCAAGGTAACATAACATTATTAGCTAATAATAATAAAATATAAATAACTTCTTGGAATTGCTGTGAACTATATGAGTCCTTAATTTTTTGTAAAGCATTAAGTATTGCAGAAACTACTATAATTAATATTCTGTGGATTTAAGTAAAATACATATACATGTAAAGAGTATATATATCCTATGATTAGCACAATGAAATATCAAAATCTCTGAAAAAAAAAAAATAACTTATAATTTTTGCTCATTAATTACACATTCTGAGTTTTAATTTCTAGTTCTATTCTATTGTACGATTTTGTAAACTTTATCAGTCCTCTTGCTTTTATTTTTATCTTCACAATAAAACTGTGAACCACTTAGCGATTTTATAAATACATAAAGTGTTTCATATATTTTTACTGTTAATTTTCTTGTTTGCCTTGAAAGTGTAGACGTGATTTAATGCGACATTTATTGTAACATGTTAGGATTTAATACTCGTGGTATATTCTTAGTATTTAAGTCGCCTATATACATGAACAGTACTACGTTATCACGTTATCATGTGATAACCATGATACCACTTGCTTGCTTGATACTGCTTGCTATTCCAGAGGATTAAGGTGTCTTGCGTCGTATCTTGTAATTTCATTGCCTACGACCGAAACTCACCACTTACTCAATGAAAAAGACCTTTCATTTTTCATATTAATTTGATCATGTGACCACTCAGTTTTTAATTTTCCACATTGCATCTTCGGTTAATACTGAATTTTATTAATACTTTTACTGACATACCCTTTACAACTGTATGTAATATACTACTAATAATGATGCGGTACTGCTATTTATTTCAATTACAATAACTAAGAACTAAGAAATTCTGATATACCAAAATACTGTGTACGAAGATAATGTCTTCTACATTTACTCGTATATTAATTAGTTAATTAAAATAATAGGTAACAAAAACGTAGTCTTAGTGTAAAAAAATCTTGAAATGTACGACGTCTCCCATCCTTCTAGGAGCCCCCTCCTAGAAGGATATCTTATATTATCTAAAAATCATAACATGTGACAGGGATGGCCCATTACATTGATGAAGTATTACATTTTGTGATGGCCTAGGTGGTCTAGCGATTTAGCACACCGCCTTCCACCGCCACCGCGGGTTCGAGTCATCGTACGAAGCAAACACTTGTATTCATGACTATAATTGTTTCTATCGGCCTGTATATTTTCTAAGTAAATTATATATGTATTTACAAAAACATGTATGTAAATATTCTATCAGTTGTCTGGTACCCTTAACAAGTTCTGCATACTTTGCGACTAGATGGCGCAGTGAATTGTCCAGGATTACTACTATTATCATCTGTATCTCACAGATTAATTTATTGTAGGATTCCCGGACATCAGAAGTTGATTACGGTTCAGAGGACTCGCATGATGAGGATAGCAGTTCGGGAGCCGGCGACAACCATAACCCTGTCACACCTCCGGTGCGCAGGGATTCCGAAACTGGTAAGAGTATTTTCATTGTTTATCTATGGTTTGGTGAATCAAAAACTATACACTCCTTTTTACGAAAATTGCGGGGACAGAGGAGTATGAAATTTGGCACATTTAAAGTTCCTACAGAGTTCCTACACTCCTTCAGAATGCGATTATTTTTATATATATGTTTAGTAAAAACATTACACACACTACCATGTGTTTTACACATACTATATATACACGTATATATACTCTTTCGTTTATTCTTAAAGTCTGTGGTCAAATTGAGAATGGATTAATATTATTTGTCTATAGTCTTACTAAATGATAAATAATTATGGTTGAATTTCGTGTCAAATACACACGCATAGAACTATAATTAATGTAATCTATGACAATAGAACCTCAATAATGTTTAAACTACGACCGCGAGTTATTGTTATTAAACATAAAATGTGCAGGTATAAGTGCATGTGCGACGGTCATCCAACCAGCGCTGCTGACAGGCGGCGTGGTAGGCGTTGGTGCAGGAGTGAGACTGGGCGCGGCCGCGGGGCCCGGTACAGGCTCGCGGCGGTCCCGGGGGGCGACCTGCTGGCGCGTGCTACTCGTGGCCGCCACCGCACTGCTCACTATCTCCGCCGCCCTGCTCTCCTACAAGCTTTACCTGACAAGGCTACATCCACAGGTGCGAAGTTATAATATTCTGTTTTCAAATTTATATTTTTGTTATACGAAGGTTAACGCTTGAATTTAATTTTTCTATAACATTATATTTCTAAAGATTGTAGTCTATAAGGTACCAAATTTGATTGAAATACGTTCATACATTTAATATGTAGTAATAAATATGCAAAGTACATAATAGCTTAGAAAATATCGATATATGCATATAAGTTATATATAGATAAGTTACTACTTTCAAGCTGTTGTTTCGTCAGCTATTACAGTTACATAAAGACAACATCTTAATTTTTTTATTGGGGAAAGTATGAATAATTATTAATAAGTTAATTAAATTATTTTTAGGAGGAACTAAACAAATTGTCCGGCGAGGAAATGTACTCTGAACTGATGAGATGGCGGACGCGACTGCACGGTCGGGCCGCTAACGAACTACATGCCTTTCTTACCACCAACCTGCTTCTACTCACAAAGGTATGCATTATAATGTAAATAATAGCTACACAACTTTATATAGTTAACTAGTTGCTATCGGCAAATGTTCAATTGACTAACAAAATTTCAACCTCTATTAGAGGTATTCGTTTGGACTGTACCACCTTTAATATAATGGCTACACCTATTCTTGGTTGGAAATGAAATCAGTGTGTAACCAACCTCGCTGTTTACTTGTCGAGTACTTAAATCTCCAGATATACAACAGTAGTGACAAGGGGTACCACTAGTTCGATTGTGTGCTCTGTTCATGTCAATAGGCGATAACGATTTCTATCATATTAAATTACATTGTTACTTTCACTTATGTAGCAAGCCGAAACTAATGCAGATTAAACGATTGAAAACAATTTTACAATATTGATCAATATTATAAAATTGTTTTCTACGAAAAGATCAGAATTAATTTTCTTTCCCTTTTTAGCTGTATTGTATATAGTGTTACCTGTATTGTATACAGTAAAAGTGTTTTTGAATTGAAATTATTTGCTTCAGGTGCGGCAGTCCTTAGAAACATTATCAGGGGTGATACTAACGGACATGGGGCATGGTTCATCAATCATAGACACGCCGAACGAGACCGTCTTCAGTTAGCGGAGTCGGCGACAACAGCTGGTGTGCTTGTTGCCGTTAGAATGTTGTGTGCCTCGAGTTAACGATTAGTTGATTTAAGAGTACATGTTCAAGAGACCCTTCCATATAAGATAGTCATTCCGTGTCGCAGTCTCCCTTAAGTTTTTGCGATTATTATTACATTTACTGATCTGGAAATGTATGTAAAAATGGAAAATATAATGAATTATATTCAAGCTGTAACTAGAAAGACGATTTAAAAGTAAATATTTACACATTATCAGAGCAGTCTTAGTAAAATCACTTTATAACTTATTCGATTGAAACTCATAGGCAACTTCTGCATTCGATTAAAAATTATAACATACTTTATTTGAGGAGACATAGAAACAAGGATAGTAAACTTCACTCAATATATGACACATTATATTTAACAATATTAGTATTGATCTCTTTTAAAATGAAAATAGTTATCAGTTCACATCCTGAAACTTATATCGTATTTTGGTTTCAACAATACATACATAAAATGTTACTGTTAGGTATATCATTGCAAGAAGTAAATTAAATGTGAAACCAAGGAAGTCTGACGGACAAAATATGCTAATATTAAGAAAAAGTGTCCACAAAAATGTCAATCGCAATACTTGCAGGCGACTGCGGCGTTTCCTTTTCCATTGGCTGTAAACCCAAGTTTTGGAACTACTAACAACTCCTTACTACAGACAACACTTCTGATAGAGAAATATAATTTCTCATAATGATATTAAGTTCTATTTATGTTGCATTATAAACATATGACAACGATTATTTTTAAATGATTTTGTTAATTATTTCTCGTAATTTATTGTTCAAGTTGTTTATACGATATTGAGGCAACATTGATTATATTTATTTATTGGCTAATTTGTATCAGAATGATGTAATCCAGTATAATAAAACTTCCGTTATCAATTGATTAAACAATTCTTAGAATTGTTTCATAATGTCTGAAGGTCATACATTATCAGTCGCCAAATAATTTTAAACTGCTAACCGCCAGTCATGTCTATACTTCGAAACAATGAAAGTAGGATGATAGATAAGTTTAAATTTTGAAACGGATATGGTGGTAGTTACTAATAAGAGCTCAATGTAGCATTCAGTGGTAGGCATTTATATTTTTTTTTATGTATATACACACAAGTTGTCTGTCGTGTTGTTATTGTCTATACACTGTTAAAATGTATAACGGTAATGAATGTGCTTAAAATATAGCAAGTTCATTACAAATAAATGTTATTTTTAATTTGTACAGAATCAATGCTAGCCTTTTAGCCAATTTAATCTATGGATACGTGAAGAAGTGAATGAGACTGATACAAGTGAATGATTTTGCAATATGTATTTATATCCATGTGAGGCGGTTTTCGATTGCACTTTAAAGGGAATATATAGTACACTTTGACTAAATAACCGCTTAACGTACAAGTACGCTACATTCTATTTATTTCATTTAGTGAATCAAAATACAAATAAGCTCTTTGGTAAATTACTAAACTGCACTTATTTTCTAACTAACCGCACATTTAAATGATAATTGAACTTGCTATATAAATTATCGCGGTTGCAGTAGTTTTGGATTCTTAGTCTGCATCAGGAATTTATCGTTTTAACATACCTATATCTTGGATGATTGAATGTAAGCCAATGTATAAATAGTGTCCTTTATATAGTCAACGTGTACTAAAGCCTCAACGTGAAATGACATGAAAGTAGGTTTCCCTTCAAGTCAAGGATCGATGTCCAAAGAGTTACTAAGTTATCCAATTCGATCATGTAACTATTGAATGTGATGTTAAAATGTACATAAAATTAGTAGTTTTGAAATTGGTTTGTAACGTGTCTAAGAGGCATAACTATGTCGTATTAATTGTGTCAAACACAACGTTAGCTTTAAGTTAGGTTAACGATTTGTTTTTGTGGATGTTGATAATGTAAAGTAATAATAAAATCTTGTACCGCGTTTCCACTAAGGCATGCATTATTTATTTTATATATATAAAACATACTGTGTTATATATATTTCAATCAAACGTGTAAAGCATCTTACTAATTATAATTATTTAGATAATTTCCTTGGTGTGAAGACATTACAACCATTTATTAAAAGTGTACATGTCAACAAGTTTCATATATGTAACAAGTTTTATGCTGTCTTCAGGAACATGTGTCACCTCTGTACGAGTATAGGTGGAAACGGGGTAATATAGATGTAAGTACCAAGAGTCCATCGAGAGTACAAGCAAGATAGACTTTGTCCATTTTTAAACAATTAATGTCTAATATTAATCCAAACCAAATTTACGTCTGTTAGTTTGGCCTTAGACATGTTAGATTTAAGCGTATTCACAATTGTATTAAAGTGCATTGGAACTATTAGTTCATGTTTACAGAATTAAAAAAAAATATTACTCGTATTTATAAGACTGATAACAACATGTCTAATAATTTAGTATATGAAATACATCTATTTATATTTATATTAGTGCAAACAGGTTCATACAGTACGCATATGGTACGTACACAATACAGGAAAAAAATATAATTTTATATGTCATATCGATACTGAAACTGAGTTAATTATACCATGACCGGAACTATGTTTGAATAATGACGGTGGTTATTTCATAAAGGTCTTTATTCACAAAATACAATTGTGAATACGACACTATCAGAAAGGCAGTGGTGCTAGTATTAGATAAGGATAAAGAACCAACATTCCACAGTTGAGCAATATCCCAGTTCGATAACACATTGTAATTTAATTTCAGCCAATATTTATATAACGAACGATTATACAAAGATTGGCTGAAATTATTTTACAAAATCTGCCAAATGTTTTATTATTCGTAATATTTCTTGCCAGTATATATAGTTTCAATTATTTCTAATCGATATTGACACTATGAACTGTCATTGATGAACGGAACATAAACAATTGAAGAGAAGTCATATGGATTATGAGTGTTATTAGTCTAAATAATATATAAGAATTCATATTACAAATATTTTGTTTAGTTTTTTTTAAAGTCAATATGTAATGTTTTGTAATTTTATTTACTGATTTTTTAGACAATCAGTTAAACCATGTAATGTTATAGATATTCATATAACCTAATACAATAATTTCATTAGTCTCTAATATTATTGTAGATTATTCTAGTCTTTGGGAAAGCTCAAACATTCGTTTATGTAACATTGGGGTTAGTACTTAGTGACGAAAATATTTTTTCCATTATGTCCCAAGTACCATTATATTTTTATTTTTTTCATTAAATGCAAATGTATTTAATTGTTTAATTACTATTTTATTCAATTTGATGATAAATAAATAACTTCAAGTATTTATGGAAAATGATGAGTCAAAATGAATTATAGCAATGGCAAATCGTATGGTAATAAGAACACCATAGTATAGCTGAGTACTGAGTTTACCTAAAGGAAAAGTAACAGTAACCTCAAAATGACCGTACCGTAAAAAAGCAGAGCACCAATATAATAATATGTTATGGTTTTAAATCTTGATAATAGGGGGCGCTAGAACACCTTTAAATTAAATTTGTAAGCATGATAGATTAAAATTTTAGAGACTTGTAGCATTAAACACGCTAGTGATTATTTTTGTTTAATAAAAAAGTTTATATACGTATCTCTTGTCATATTTGTGTGAACTTTATTGATTTTAGTCAATGTAATTATATGTTATTGTTGAACACACATGGCCTAATTTGCACTAAATTAACATCAGTGCCAAAGAGTTTCATTAATGTTATTTTATATGTTAAACTACATAAGGCCACCTACCGTCCTTGTGTTAATTACATAATGGTTGACTCAGTTATTGTTACCACAAGATTATAGTAGTTGGTTTATAGAACTTTAAAAGTAGAACTTCCGTTTTAGATGAAAAATAACTACTATTAGTAGGCGTGGTTAAAGATGTTATTATTTATATACTTTCAGTAACATTAGTTATCAAATATAACAATAACACAGTAGTGTATTCTATTATGCACGATGTTCTACATTGGTTACCATTTTTCTATAACATAGAAATTACACAAAATAAACAAGTTTATAGAAACTTGTAGTGGCTATTTTTATGTACTTGTGGTAACGATTCAGAATTATTTTGACATTAAATTATTTGCACCATTAACGATTCAGTTGTAATTATTAAAAATTTGCCAAAGAAATAATAGATAGAGATATCAAATAGTATAGGAGATTTGTACAATATATTATAGTATGTAGGTAGGTAGGTTCATGTTGTTATGTTTTATTTTATTTTATGCGCGTAATGTGTATTAGTGAATCAGTGAGAACATAATTTTTATTATATATTTTATTTATTTCGTAATAATGTGTAACATGCAAGTGGAAAATATTATAGTTTTATTTGAGAGAAGAAAAGAAAGAGAAAGTTCGTTATCAGATTATCCTTAAAAAGCATCGGGGTTTAATTTTTTCACCAGAAAATATAGCCACATTTCGTTCTACCCCTAGCACATTTGCAAATTTTGACTAAACTCAGATATTATGTTTCCAATTTGCAGCCGATTGATAAAGAAGTGTAAAATAGAGCGAAATAGCGTTGATACGTACAAAAAACCAGTACTGGTGTTGAATGACAATAATAAAGTATAAACTGATACATAAAAATAAAACTTTTCCAAGATTATTTTCCACTTGTTCAAATAAGTGCAATCTTATATTCAGTGATTAGAATTTATATAAGTTGATTTATTTCTACCGCGTAGGAATTGTTGACGTGTTTGTTTGTCGCTCATTTTTGTATATTTGTTCAAAGTTATGTATGGTTAGTTTGTTGTTTCTTGTAAATAATAGATAGATTGAGTTAATTGAACATAAGTTGGTTTTATTTTTTTATCTAACCAGTTAGAATAAGTCCTTTAAAACGAATTACAAGGAAGAAGAATTGGAAGAGAACATTAATATTAACACCGACTTTTTGGTATTGTCTTAACTAATATGGGATAATTGAGAATTGAAGTTGCGATTGAAACTGATTTCAATTTACCTAGTTTGTTTCCTAATTTACGTTGTTATTTATGTTTTCATAGTTTAATTTAGGATGCAGCACGAGATAAATGTCATATGAATTCCGTTTGCATGATTGAGAATTAAATAATAATATCCCTGGACAATTCACACAGCTCCATCTAGTCCTAAGCTAAGTAGAGTCTGTGTTATGGGTACTAGACAATTGATATAAATACATAGAAACATTAATTTTGATAGTACATACTTAATATACAGAGAAAAGACCCATACTGATATCTACAATCGTACTCATGAATACAAATGTTTGTACCGTGCTAGAAATCGAATCTGAGATCATATAATACAGATAGAAGAAAAGAATTAAAACAACATGATATTAAAATAGCAATCTAATTGATATAAATATAGCGAACTATTGTAATAAACAACCAATTTTAACATTATATAAAAATTATATTATTACAAATAATATCTCAATAAATTAATTACATCATGTATACACATTTTAAATATTCAGTATATTTATTGCGAATATTAAATGGAAAGAAACGCATCTAAGATTGATACTGACAACCATCTAAATAGAACAACAATCGTATGAAATTTGAATGTTAACATTTTAACAATAAAGAAAAACAAATACAATTTAAATAGTTCAAACATGTCATGGCTAAACAAAAGTTTCACGAACACGCCACTTGAATTTGATATCGTTAAAATCAATCGGTAGATTTGAAAACAAATTTTATGGTAGGTCTCCAGCAAAAATGTCATATCATCGCCAAGCAAGGTGGTTTTTGCTTAGATTGTACAGTAGATATTTGATTCTTAACATTGAATATATTCATAGGATAAACCTAAGCGTTTTATTTAAATTAAACAAGTTTATATTATTGCATATTGAATAGTGCCTTCGAGTTATATATTGTGTTTTATGTTTTTTTTATCAGAATGTATAATTACATGCGTGCTATTTTCATAAGTATATTATCCGATCAAAAACATCATTACTCTCGTTTTTGTTAAACGCATGATTTTACAATTATTTCTTTTTAGACAATGTTCTCTGTTTCTCAGCATGTTGGACCAGTTGTTTATCAGTAGCGAGACCTTTTCTGACCCTGACCGAGTCCACGTAAGCTTTGGCTCGGTTCACTCCGTCCCATTTTTCTCCCCATTGGAGGTATTCTTCCTCGGTGCGCGGACGCCAGAACGGGTCGATATCTACTACCTGAAATATACAAAGTAATAATTGATAAGTAAATATTCCACTGATTTAAAAATAATTTACAATTATTATTATAAAGAATTTATCTTCTTATTTATAAAATCGTTAAATCTCTAATAATTTTTTTTTCAATGATTGTACAGCCGTTTTTGTCAAAAGGCAACGGATAGAGAGACAGATTTGCGCCTTTATAATACTACTATGGATATTAGGTATTTTTAAATTTTCGTATACATTATTAATATAGACATAAATATATATACATAGTTAAATGGGTTTTAACAAGTAAAATTGGTAAAAATCTGCGTGAAAGATACCTACCTATGCATTTTTACTTAATAAGTAACAATGCATAAGTAGGTTAAAAAGTAAAAGTTTACTTAATAAGTAAGCTTACTGTTACATATTATGTATTACAGGACAGTAAGCTTAGGTGGATGACACCTTGTGATCATCATAGAGAAGGTGATTATTAATTTTACATGCCAAAAATATACTCCTGCTATGCTTTTCTATATTTTATTATCGTTTAAGTTGGATATGAGTTGATAATACATTGGATTCCTTCCGGATGTTGAGTTAATTACATTTTAAATCCAATAAGAATACTGAAAAAGCAAGTGTTTTTATCTTAATATGTTCTCAAGTACCTAGTTCTCAAGCTTCTTTGCTCAACACAAGTTATATATTTGAGGTCTTGGTTAAGTAGTAGGTACCTATTCAATTTTTGTATGCAATTGTCGATCAACATAAATTTTCATAAATCTTTCGACGTCATAAATAATATACAGATTCCGTCTAAAACTACGCCATTATCACGGTTGTAGTTCTTTTGAATTACTAACCGATAATTGATTTTAAAAATTCTTTAGTTATAGAAAATAGACTATAAAACAAGGATTTTTTGTCATATTTATGATCCCTACAATAAATGTTCACTATAAACAATGTAATTCTAGTTTAGAATACAACCGTAACCTTACCTCCCAGTGACTGAACAGTAATTGAGGTGCGGCCAGACCAGACGTGTGCGTCCTGAGTTCTAGTGCAAACTTAAAGCTTTCAGCTACGGGCAATAGCGCGCGAACTCTGAACGATGCCGACCCACCCTGGAGATCACTGGCGATGACGCGTCCACCACGGCGACCCAGCGCCGCATACAGTTTGCCTGTAATCGAGAAAAAAATATATAAGTATTATAAAACGTAAATACATTTTTAATAATGTTACTTAATTTATGTTTTTTGATAAATATATTCCAATCTGTTTTTATTACAGTGTTATTACAGTTTTGCAGTGTCCCTATATCTTTATTTATGATTGACTATTGCATAAAGTACTGAACTTAATGTGGCAACGACATCCCGTTATATTAGAGGTAAGTAATGTCCAAGATACAAGGTTTTTCTGACAATGAAACCGATTTTTGACATCTGATTTCATTTCGGCAGAAATAACAACATCGCGATCTGATTACCTACTACCGATATTACATGTAATGTCTACCGATATTATATGTAATAGTAATATTAATCTGCATATTTTCCTAATATAGATATACTTATAACAGCAAAAGGAATTCGCATTGCCTTTAGCCTGGAGACAACATCATAAAGTCTGTTGTCAGATCACTAATAAATTATTCGCAAAATAATCCACTGACTTGCAACTAATTCAGTATTTTTTATGCTACACAATCACTGATAAACGCATCCGCAACTCGTGATCAGGGAGTGAGAAGCCAAAAAAGTTACACCGCAAAAAGTTCGCTTCGTGATGTCATGTTACCGGGATTTTGACAAATATTCAGTGGTCAGTCGCGTAGAAAAATTCCTTGCTTCTTCACAGATTCGTTGCGGCCATTTTGAGATGAAAGGGGGGGCTTCCGGTCACGGGCATCCGGTTCATGCGGTCACGTCCACGGGATGGCTCACGATGAAAAACTAGTTCGTATTTGCCCAATAAATAAGAGGCTTTTTGTAACATCACAACATATTTGAACTTTCAACGCGCTAAGAATGTTGGATAAAAAACACATATCATCGCATAACGGGATCTGTACGCTTTTATAATTGTCAGGATGGTCATTTGTAATTTAGACAAGTATTTGTAACAGATAAAAATAAACGAACTTGTATGGTTGCAACAAAAATGTGAATTGGGCCAAGTTTACATCATTGCAATTTTATTGTTCTTATGACCTGATATTTATTTATGTTAATGTCTATTTACATAACGTAAAAATATGTTACTTTAATATCTTTATATTTATTTTTTCTTCAAGATACCTAATTAATAATAAGATACCTAATATATATTAATTAATTAATTCAGTTATTCTGGAATGTTATTAGTAATATCATCAATTCCATATATTTTAAATACTAACACTGTGAACATAATTCTACATACATTAGGTTACTTATCCACTACTATCTTATAGATGTAACATATCTATCTAAATGGTAAACAATTAAAAAGTATTTAAAAGTAAGTAAAACAGTTCTTTTATTCTCTGACTTTCACTTGTAATCTTACTACTATTGCCTTTTATTAACATTTTTATTTATATACATATTTCTTATTGATATTTCATAATTTTATAATGATCATATAAAAGTCCGAAATAACTTTGATACATTAATCTTGACAAATTACACATGATAAAATATGAGGTAAAGCTTGTACTGTGTCGAATTGTAGAGAACTAGATGTAGTAAGTACTTAATACATTTTAAAGTAAATACATACTAATACACTGAGAAAAAGAAGACAATGTGTTGTATTTGCGAAATATTTGTTTAGTTCGCAAGTTTATTACGACAATAAAAGTTTAGTTAAATATCCACACGACAATTGATGTAAACGAAGGCTGCGCGCAATTCGACGCGGCAGCGGTTGAGCGTTTTGGAGGAGCAACTTGCTGCGGTTTCGTTTACTAAATAATAATTACGCATTATGAATGGTCACTGTTGACTTGCAACGAGTTTGAGAAAGTTTGTTTTCGTATAGAGATGATTGGGGACAAAATGTTCACATACGCAGGTACTACTTTTGCATTAATTAAACATGACTCAATATTACCTTTTATATCAACATAACTTGTCTTGGACCTTGTCCAATTGTAAAGGTCAAGAATATTCAGAAATGCAATTAAAATTCACTTAGTGAAATATAAAAATAAATAATTGATGTTAATTTTCGTATATCAAGCTTGATTGTTGCTGTATTAAATAATCAAGAGCGAAATAAGTTCGTATATTTTTTATTTATTTTTTACCAGCTATGCCCGCGGTTTCACTCTCGTGAAATTTATAGCCTATATGTTATTCTAATGTATAAGCTATATTGCTGTAAAGTTTCATTATAATCCGTTCAGTAGTTTTTGTGAGAAAAGATTAACAAACATCCATCCATCTCACAAATTTTCGTGTTTATCATATTAATAAAATTATATTACGATGCGTACTTTCTTAAGGGATAGAAACGAACAATTTATTTTTGTATGTGATCACACAGTTTCTATGAAGAAGGCGAGGTGGTAGGCTCGCCCACTACTTTAAATATACCTGGTGAAATATGGCCATGTCAACTATTGCGTTCACCATCGACAGTTGAAACTACCCTGTCTACGTCTTCTGGGATAACAGCCGTGAAGATAAGTTACGTAAAATTTACAATCGCTAATGGATGATTAACGAGTAGTTGCCAAGGTTAGCCATTATGTTTTTGTAGAGTATCCCGCAGTACCTAGTAAGCAGGCCAGTCTCACCTATATGTTTTATATATGTGATATATAGGTATATCACTTGTTAACAGATAACGGGTGATAACCCGTTGCGCCCTATATTCACATCCGTTATAACGGAGTTGGGCTTCCGAAGACATCCTCCAGATGCTGTATGGGTACTTATTGGTTTGACGTAATTCATAACAGCGTATGTATTAGAAATACTAACCATTAAAAATCATATGCACAGGATTAAAATTTCATGGAAACTAGATTCTAGCTTAATATAATGTTATTTAAACCAACGAAGCAATTTAAAAATAAGTCTACTATGTACTATGTCTTGGATGGATAAATTAGATGTATTATTAAAATAATTATGTGCTTAATATTTAACTATAAAGTTTTATTTAGTCACAACCACATTTTAGTTTCCTGATTATACCAAAATTGGCCTCGTGTGTATGTGATGTAGCTAAGAGTTTAATGGAGGTAAAGTTAAATAAAGGGAAAGGGAATGAAATATTTAAGGGAATTATGGAAAAAAATTAGGAAACTAGTAGTAGACCATGTCCGTAGTCTACAGCCTAGATAATACACATGGCGTTTTACTAAGATATACTCATGTATTGCAGATGTAAGATATTCATGTAAGATATACTCCTCTAGAATCTTGAATCTTGACATTTCAACAAGAGATTTAGATTTATATTCGTATAGTTTGGAGAATATACCACAACGCTGGAATCATAGCGAATTACGAATTATTTTAATAATTATTTATTGAACATATCCAGTATAACATAATATATATCACATATTAGGCTAATAATATTAAGCTATAGCTTAAGAAAAAATAGATAAATTATTTAGATAGGTGAAGAGAAGCCTCACTTCTAAATGGAAGAGACATTCCGTTATAAACATCAGAAGTAGATTGTGATGCTTTATGTCGCCAATTGGGTTTTTCTACGAGGCACGTCTGCAGAGAGGCGGCGGATGTTGGGCAGTTAACGCGGGTTGCTACGGAAATGGCGCGACGTTTATTGAGCAATGTGAGTATGTATTCCTTTAGACTACCCTTTAATTACACCATAAGGCTGTGCTACACGGAAATCGTCTTAGTCTCCAGTTTGACATGATAACGTAAATGGCAATGTCATATGTGAAGTCCATGGAACCGTCTAGTGTTACCATTCCAGAGGACTAAGTAATGCCTCAGTGTCAGTAACTTCGCTGCTATATTTGACTCTTTAATCGAATGATATCTTATAAGGCAAGCTACTTGTACAAAGTATACCTCGGTAAAATTAATATTAAAGAGTTTGTCTGTAGATTTTGCTCTGGCGGCCGACAAAACATTTTTACTCCCTTCCTGCGGCGAGCGGCGACTTCCCGTCACGATAAGTAACGCAAGAAATTAAAGCGATCGGATGTTGAGGGTATACGTTAATAACATCTCTCAGCTTTCCGTTTAAAAGTAAGAGTTCTCTTAGGATGTTTTGATGACGAACAGTCGGGTTCGGAGTCATTTACAAATTTAAAAAAGAGCATAAAAAGCAAAAATAAAACGAAAACCTTGTGACTGTAAATATACAGTCATAAGGTTTTCGTTTTATTTCGGTACACGACAATGAAAAATGGACAACATTTTTAAATGATCCAAATAATCTGACTAGTGTTTAATTAAAGCACAGTTTGTCTATAGGAAAATTACCTTCAATAGTCACAACATAGTAATTTCTATTGATTGTAAAAATAATCACGAATATTAAAATGTTAAAAACGTTTCAGCCAATGTGTATTGTAAACAAACAAAAATAATGTAGTAATGAATTATTATTCTTCCTTTGCCATTGAAGTCTTACTTTTAGGAATTTGCTAAAATCTTTTATGAGTTTTTTTTTAATTCGATGCTTTTTAAAAGATTTATGAGTATCAAGATATCCGATCGGGAAGCGGTTCTGATCTCATCCGCCTGATACTCTATCCACATGCCGTTAAGAAGTTATTTCCTGCGCAACACCTGTCAGCCCACTATGAAGACTGGCTCATGGAACGTTTAGCGTAATGGCTTTATCTACTCGCGGATAAAGAACTAATAACCTATTAAGTAAATATTTTAAACAAGGTCTACTAAAGCCGGTGGAGAAATATGACATTAATGAAAACATATTTATTTTAAAACAGATTACACATTGATTAATATAATACGTACTCAATTAGTAAGTAATTATACAAAGACGACTACTGATAAACTAATTTTTTTATAAATAACTGCATATAATACACACAGATCAATACATATTTCTTAAGAGTCGGTAACGCGCACGTGATATCTCGATTTAAGGCGTATAACGATTTACCATCAAATGGGCCGTATGCTTGTTTGTCACAATAGTAAAAAAAAGATATAATAATTCACAACCTAATGATTT